AAAAAAAAAAAAAAAAAAAAAAAAATTTCATTTTTAAAAGAGAGGATTTTAATGCTGTAGGGGAATGACAGGGTTGAGAGATGTCAGATTCACTCTAAAAGTCTTGCAAGGACTGAAGAGTAAAAGCTTCCACCATATGCCATTCCTCGTCGCACTTCTAACAGCATCATCACCTCTTCACCTATCCCCCATCCTGTGACCAGACCAACCAAGCCAGCTCGACCTGATCCCTTTAGCTTTTCCCAACCCCATGCTTACCTCCCTGAGTTTTTACTCCTGTTCTAGTCACCATAACACCCAGCCCTGATAGGAATCTTACACAAAGACAGTTTTAAGAACTTAATGGGAAAAGTTACCTGAAACAGCGATGGCTCAGTGCTCTGCGTACACAGGTGAAGGGGCCCCAGAGCCCAGTAAAGAAAGCCATGGGATCCCAAGATAGATCCTGCAGGAAAAATGAGAGGGGGAAAAATTGGTTTCTAAGTCACAGCCCTTAGAGCCAGTTTTCTTTGGGGACTTGTGTGGGAGATGGCACTTCCAGCACAAGATCATTAGTCACAAAATATAAATCTTGGTGGTTAAAGGATACACAGATGATTAGACAGAGCTCTAGCTCCGATTTTGCTGATTCACGTTCTAACTCTGGGGTTGGAGAGGTGGCATGGCCCACAACAGCTTCTGCTATAAAAAAAATACAGCAGCACAGAGAATGCCTTCCTTATTATATCACTTCTACAGGCAGGAGGAAAATATGAACCCTTGGTTATAAATCCAGCCAGGGACTACTTCTCGAGTCCTCCACAGAGGAAAAACTGCACACTATTGCCCTTGTTGATACTCATGCGCCTTCTGAAACCAGTACTTTAACTCCCTAAAAGAAAGTAAAGTATCTAAGCAGCCACTCAAGTTGTCTGTCACTACATCACCTTTCCCCCAAATGTAAAGGCCAGAACACCTGTACAGCTCAAGGCCAGCAAAGCAAAGCCAAAGGCTGCTCTTGCCAAGTCAAAGACCAAAGTCTCTATTTGGGTCAGTCTCCCAAACAACACTGTAAAATGGAAAACTGACCTACACCATACTACAGCTGAAAGTGGGCTTTGGGAAACCAAGTTGAAGAGTTAGTTGAAAGAGCAAACACCAACCCAAGACTTGTGGCTCCAGTTTTCAGAATCTCAACCCTGTTGCTCTCTAGCACTAACAAACATAGAGGCTGCCAGCGCCCTGAAACACCAGAACATCACTTCAGAGAGTGCTTCAGAAAGGCCTGTAGCCAGCTGCAAAACACACCTGTTTTTCCACCCAAATGTTTGGCTGCAGAGGTGCCCATTCAAGAGGTCTGCCGAGAAAAGCCTCTACACTGTAGTATTTACACACAGTTTTGCTTTGCACAAGTTCAAACCACCTCAGATAAGACTTTATTTAATAAGAATGTTGGGGTGGGGGGCAGAGGAATCCACTCTTCCCCAGGAATACCTAGACACTCCATAAATACTTTTTTTTTTCTTTCCTTGAGACAGAGTCTTGCTCTGTCACCCATGCTGGAATGCAGTGGTACAATCGCAGCTCACTGCAGTCCTGAACTCCCCAAGCTCAGGTGATCCTCCCACCTCAGCCTCCCGAATAGTCAGGACCACAGACACGCACCAGGATGCCAGGCTAATTTTTTGGGGTTTTTTCTCAGAGATGATGGTCTCACTTTGTTGTCCAGGTTGGCCTTGAACTCCTGAGTACTCCTGAGTTAATTTAATCCTCCCGCCTCAGCCCCCCAAAGTGCTGGGATTATGGGTGTGAGTCACCCACCACAACTGGCCTTTAAATGCTTATTAACTACAATTTAGCCTCAAATCCCAAACTTACTCCCAAATGTTTTCCTTAAGACAACCCATGAAGCATTAGCCAAAATGTAATTATGATTAGAAAAATTAAATGCAAAAGAAGGCAGCTAATGTATGCAACTACTCACATCTGACACACAGAGAATCACAGACTACCAAATGAGACCAGCTTTACTTTTACTGGTGAGGTAACCCTGGACAAGTAACCAAACTGCTGAGCTTTGGTTTCCCATTTGTAACACAGGGATACTAACAGTATCTTCCCCCAAGGTAGTTATGAGGATTCAATTAGATAAGCCATGCAAAGCACTTAGCATAGTGCCTGGCACTCCTTACCAGCTAATAAGCTATCATCATCATCATGTCATATATCATTTTAAAGATTAGAAAATTGATACACAGGCAGATTAAGTGACTTGTGTAGAATCCCACAATTAGTCAAGGGCAGAACCAGAACTGGATCCAGGTTCAGTCCAAGGGCGTTCCAACCGCACTCCGCAGCCTCGCTCTGCTATACCAAAACTCATTTCACACGAGAGCCCTGGGTGTCAAGCAGCTTTAAGGGTCATTTGGCCTCTTTCTGTGTTCTTTGTTTATGAACACTTATCAAATGGTTACAATGTGTCAGGCAGCAGGCTAAGTGTCTTACATACCATCTCATTTAAACTTCATGGTCGGGCACAGTGGCTCACACCTGTAATCCCAGCTGAGGTGGGCAGATCACCTGAGGTCAGGAATCTGAGATCAGCCTGACTAACATGGAGAAACCCCATCTCTACTAAAAATACAAAATTAGCCAGGCATGGTGGCACAACTCTGTAATCCCAGCTACTCAGGAAGCTGAGGCAGGAGAATCGCTGGAACCCTGGAGGTGGAAGTTGTGGCGAGCTGAGATTGCATCATTGCACTCCAGCCTGGGCGACAAGAGCAAAACTCTATCTCAAAAAAATAAATAAATAAAATAAACCTCAAAAAACTCTATGAAATGGGTACAATTATTATTAGCCTCATTGTTATACACAAAGAAATAAAGCCCAGAGAGGTTAAATAACTTGCCCAAGGTCACATGGCTAGGAGTGACCAGGCTGAAATATGAACCCCAGTTGTGGGCTTCCTAAACCCATGTTCTTACTCAACAGAGTAAACACGGCAACTTTAATTTAAATATTAATAGTTTACAACTATTAAATCATTCTTGTTCCATCAAGAATACTGACGTCAGCTGGGCGCAGTGGTGCATGCCTATAATCCCAGCACTTTGGGAGGCCAAGG